GCTGGATTTGCACATCGTTTGATACTGAAGGATGGAGCGGTCGAGCTATAAAAGATCCCGGTCATGATTCAGAACTGCAGACGGTAAGTGAAACGGCATCAAATGTCTGTTTTGTTGGCATTCGGCGCCTAAGTGCTCGTCACTATTTAGCTCCGCCCATGGTGCACCTCCAGGAGCTCGGCTTTTTCCGGAGAGAATCGTAAAGCTGTATCTTTCTTTCATAAATATGATAAAACTAAAGACTTTTTGGAGATATGAAGGATGCAGTACTACTCTGTAGGTACTCAAGATTAACATGAGATTGTGTGAAACTGTGTGTGTTATGCCCCCTTTAACAAGATTGTTGAAGAAGGGGGTACGCTTTGTGTGGTCTGATGACTGTACCAAGGCGTATGACCAGATTAAGGCTGTGCTGGCATGTCCACCTGTTCTCGTTGTTCCAGATTTTGAAAAACCATTTAAGATGGCTGTTGATGCCTGTGAAGTGGGAGTGGGAGCGGTTTTGCTTCAATCTGATTAGTCTGGCATTGATAGACCTGTTGCCTATTTTTTCAGGAAGCTGAATAAACATCAGAGAGCGTATTCCACCATTGAGAAAGAAGCTTTGGCTCTGGTTTTGGCTGTTCGCCATTTTGAAGTTTATGTATCTAGTGCCCTGGTTGATTTGGTGGTATATACTGATCACAACCCCTTGATTTTTCTTGCTAAGTTTCAGACATCAAATCAGCGTGTGTTTCGTTGGAGTCTCTTTTTGCAGCCATACAGCTTAGTTATACAGCATGTGGCTGGTAAAGATAATGTCCTGGCAGATACCTTATCTAGGATGCCTGTACATTTTTAAAGATTCAAGGGATTAGGATGATAGGGATCTAATTCCCTGGTATGCAGTATTGAGATTGAATGTTTTAGGACATGAGGCCTGACAATGATTACAATTTGTTTATGTAAAGTTTTAATGAAAAAAAGTTTTAGTTTTTTTGAGGGGGGGAGGAATATTAGGTATTTAAGCAGGGAGCAGTTTAAGCAGTTAAGTACTGACTAACACGAAAAGTAAGAGCCCAGATGATGTCACTCACCTGTGAATGATGAGGCTGCCGCGTGTGTAAGAGTGTGTTTTTAGACTCAAAAAGAAAAACGCTGCCTGTGTGTTGACACTCCTTGTGTTAGCCAATGACCTCTTTTTGTTTTGGGACTATGATTATCACTGTGTTTTAACATAAAACGAAAAAAAAGAGAGAGAAAAAAAATGAACGAAAACCGTATCCACGCTTGGGCTGGACTGAAAACGCGGGACATCTATGCTGAATGTCGCCGGGCCAGAATGAGATTGGGGAAAAATGCAGTTGAGTGACCTCTCTCTGGGTAGATGTTAGCTGCCACACACATACACCCTTGCACCCCTGCATCTTGGTTAGAACTGCCTCCCACGTTATTTCGCATCATGTAGGGTAAAGTTGTTTGGTGTTACGACCGATAACTACCAAAATAAAACCCCTGGACGGCTGTAGTAGTGATATATTTTGGTTTGTCATATCAGAGGTGTCGTAACAGCAGGCTCAGGCTCTCCGTCTGTGGTGGGCTCAGGTGATTGCTCCGTGCAGTGGGATGATGGCTGGCTGGTCTTTGGGTTTGGAGTGGGGCTGGTGAAGTCCTACTCGGCGGGGCAGACAGTGAATAAAGATCCGTTATTCACCAGCACCCACTCCACAAACGCGGCGAAATCCTCTTTTGGACCATTCGCTGGCAGGCATGCCTTACACCGCTTGCTCAGGTTGGTGTAGTAAAAGACGCAAATCGAGCAGTCAAGGAAGTGAGTAAGGCACGCCAGATCTAAAAAGTCCCTGGTGTGGTCCTCCAGCGAAAGGTCCTTCTGCTCCAGGCAAAGGAGTTGGATGGCTGGCAGATCCATTTCGGGGAGAGGGGAGAGAAACGAAATAAAAAATAAAAAAAATGAAAGAAAACGGCGCGTAACTATACTCAATATGAGGGTCGGTTACTCTGTCACGTAGCTGTGCTCTAAGGAGGCGCACGACGCAGGAGTAATCCAATAACAGTCTTTTATTATAATCCACAAAGCAAACACAAGGAATCGAGGAGCTGGGAGCCTAACGTGTAGACCAAAATAATAACCGACCAGGACAGAACAGAAATGGGGAGAATTTATACAAACGCAAGAGAGAGACCAATGGCATAATAGAATGAACACAGGTGAACAGAATGAACTAATCAGGGCAACCAAGGAAAACTAGGTCACAGGGAGCGAAGCAAAACACAATTGAAACACAGAACAGGCAGACATGTTACAGAAAAAGACAAAACAAAAATAAATATTATTGTATGTATATAGACTACATAGTATATATATATATATATATATATGTATTTCCTCTTTGCGCAAACTATATTCAAGTCAATCGCATTGGATTATGTGCATACTGAAGTCCCAAATCTAAAGTTCAATAACAAACCGTTTCCCACGGCTGAAAGTTTCTCAAACATGTTTTTCTTAAAGGACACACTCAAGCAATTGAGAGGGCAAAAGGCAAATAACAAAGCTTGGCCTTCTTCGCCTCAACTTTGCTTGTCTTGTGTGCTGGTCTTTGCCGCCGGCTAGATACTGTCACAAGAACATCCTCCTCAATGCTGAGACTGCATTGAGACACACTGTCTGGGGTTTAGAAGATGCACTAGTGCAGCACTGAACTATCATGTCGCATGCGTATACAAATGTTTTTGCTTAACATAGACAAGATGTTTTGAGTTTGAGCTCCGTCAAGTTAATTCTTTGTCGTCTAACTCATTGATTCGCTTGTGTGCTCTAGGGTTTCTTACTAGTGCTCGATGGATATGGGTGCCGATAGATGATAAAACACGAAATCACACTTTATATAATAGCAGTCAAAAGTTTGGAATAATTAAGTTCTTTAAATGTTTTTGAGAAGTCTCTTATGCTCACCGAGGCTGTATTTATTTGATCAAAAATATTCCTAGAATTAAAAATTAAATCTATTTTCTATTTGAATGTAACTTTAAAATGTAATTTATTCCTGTGATGCATCAAAATTAATGAGTCTCATTACTCCAGTCTTCAGTGTCACACGATCCTTCAGAAATCATTCTAAAATGCTGATTTGCTGCTCAAGAAACCTTTCTGATTATTATCAATGTTGAAAACAGTTGTGCTGCTTCATATTTTTTTGGAAACTGCATGATACACTGATTGGTTCAAAAGCTAGATTTTTTTTAAAAACAAAAATATTAAGATTACTACACTTTTATTTTAAAAAGGACTGATCAAAAGTGACAGTCAAGACATGTATAATGTAATATAATTTCCATTTTAAATAAATGCTGTTCTTTTGAACTTTATATTCATCATAGAGTCCTGAAAAAAAAATGTATCACAGTTTCCACAAAAATATTAAGCACCAAAACATTGATAATAAGAAGAATCATATAACTGAGCATCAATAATCATGTTGATATTAAATTGTAAATAATAATAAATTATGCAAAAAATGTACCAATAAATTGTAATTAAAAATTACAATTGAGAACCAAATTAGCATATTATAATGATTTCTGAAGGATCATGTGAAATAAATAAATAAATACATACATAAATATATCCAGCTAGCAAGCAAGCAAAAACATTTTTAAAAATCTTACTGACCCCAAACTTTCAAAATTTACTACAAACATATGGAAAAGAAAAATGAACATATCCATGGATAAAAACACAGATTCAGTTTTCTGAAATGTTTTAAATGAATTTCAAAAATAGTTAAATTTCAACTGTGTTTTTAGTTTTGGATAGTCAGACTCTGTGTCATCTGCAAAAAAAACACAAAAAAACAAGGAGCATATGGACACACTTGACACACTATTTTCCTATTTAATACTGTAAAGCTGCTTTGACACAATCTGCATTGTTAAAAGCGCTATACAAATAAAGGTGACTTGACTTGACTTGAGTTCTGAAATCAAAAATGACACCCTACACTCAAGGTACAAACGCTGTCAAAATGTTTTTAATTCTTAGCAGAATGTCCAGTCTGCTCTTATTCATACACTACAAATAAATGGAGACTGATGCTGTTGGGCTTCAAAAATTGCAATAATTACCACTAAAGTACCATAAAAAGTATCCACACTGACTTGTGTGCTGTAATATTCTCTAAGTTTTCTAAAAACATACAAAAGTGTTGTGTGAAGAGATAAAAAATAAAGTCACTATTCACTGAAAATCTTTCTCTCTGCCACAGCGTTACACTTTTCCTCAAGAGACTATAAAGCACTACTGATGATGATGATATTATTTAGGGGTGCAACGGTTCTCCGTAAAAAATCGAACCGTACCGTTCTCCACACACGGTTCGGCATACACTAGGACCGCGGTTCAACTTAAATCTGGCAATGCATCTGTAATATGGTTTGTTAGAGTTCGGCTAATGCATGTTTCTGTTGATGGATACAAATTCTGGCTTCCAATACATTACAACAAGAGCGATGAGAGAGAGAAAAAAACAATACGTGGACAAACCAATCACTCTTTAATCAATGCGAGTGCTTTATGCTGGAATAACTGTCATTTATGCCGTCATCACGTGTT